ATTATAAATAACGAATTCTAAGGCAACGCAAATATTAAGGTTAAGAGGCTGAGCTCGTAGATGATGATAAATAACATAGTTATGTATAAAATATTACATTTCTGACTGTATATCCCTGTAATTATTACACACTGTAGCTTTAAGATTATCTTCAAGGAAAAAATCAGGACACAAACCATGGATTAAATTGCATTAAATAGGATCACTGAAATATCACGTGTATAGTAATGTTACCCTCAAAAGTAAAACAGACTGATTTTTGGGAGAAATATGAGGATTTTATAACCACAAACCAAGCATAAAATAGGCGATACGTGTGGTACAGTTAGTGGTAGGAACATGCTGATACATGCATGATGGTTTTTGGGTTACAATACAGGTCAGAACTGGAGCAGAAATGGTAAACTACATTTCAGTGCTGAAAGAAGGAGTTCTGTATATTTTAAGTTTTGAGTTACTGAAGAGGAGCTTCATTCTAAGATTAAATGAGGAGACCCCTAATCACCCCAAAATTACTGCCCTACCATCTTGTTTACGTAAACAGAAAATTAACATAGAAAGAAAATCACATGATGTCATCATTTGGCTGAATCAAAAAAAAATCTGCTGTTTGTGACTTTTTTCCTGTTGTTTTTTTTTTTTTCTCTAGAAGTAAACTAGTAATTCAGATTGCGTTGAAATTAGATTACTTTTTTCCCCTTAATCAGCAGCGAAGCTAGGAGTGAGCAAAAAACTCAGAGGTAGAGGAAGATACGACTAAATTTAGCAACTATATTTCTAATATTCATATCTGCCTAAAAGTTGAAAGAAAGAGATGATGAGCATCAGCCAAAGATGTTTCAATCTGTCTGACCGTGGCACGTGATTTTGTTAGTTTTATTAAGCGTTTTGGTTGGCAAACTTTTACATGCTAGTCATCTATCATTCACTAGGGGGTGCTAGAACACCCTTCGCATCACTCCTTTACAGGTCCATGATAACAGTTCAATGGCTTCCTGGGGTTTCTGTGATAATGCTAATAATTTTACAGCTCTCTTGGATGTATATTCTAATGCCTAAAAAAAAAAAAAAACTCATCATAACAATGAGTATCTAACTAGACAATTAGAAGAATGAATGATCCCCTTAGACCAGGGGTGGGCAACTCCAGTCCTGGAGGGCCTGTATCCTGGAACTTTTAGATATGTCCTTGACTTAACACACCTGAATCAAGTAAATAGATAATTAGACTCTGGTGAAATTGATTGCATACTGGGGAGGTAATTTTACTAATTTGATTCAGGTGTGTTGGACCAAGGATGAATCTAAATGTTGCAGGAAACCAGCCCTCAAGGACTGGAGTTGCCCAGCCCTTCTTTAGACAGCGGCGAACGTTGTTTTATGACCAGGATGTTTTAAAGAACTGATTTACATTTTACAAAGTCAATATTTCTCCTCTAATTGTCGAGAAGTGATTTAGTCTAGAAAAAAGAAAAGGATAGAAATTGACCTCAAAATGGAGAAATCAACCTCTGCTTTTAATCCATCCCCTTGGGGAGCAGTAGGCTGCCATTATGTGGCGCACGGAGAGCAGTGTGGCATTAAGGGTCTCGCTCAGGGACCCAGTGTGAAAGTTGTAGGGAACCAGGTATTTGCAACCTTCTCAGGGCACAAGTGCACTGCTCTAACCACTAGGCCAACACCCCCCTTATTTGTAATATAAGAAAAATATAATAGACTTCTTTATATTTCTCTTGGTAGGAGTTTGATGCATAGGTCAGACATTACAATTCCAAAATACTTCGAAAAGACAAACTTTTATTCAGAAAGGTTATTTTGGGATATTTTAAATATAGAAGATAAACTATAATAAGACCTTGTTCTGCAACAGAAAAGTTCAACTTTTCACAGACAGAGAAAGAGCTGCAATAACCCAGAAATATTCCATTTAACTTAATTTAATCTGATGAGAAAAATCCCATTTAGGATGTTGCCCTCCATCGTTATACTGGTCATTTTGGATCATCATTCCAGTTTTTATTTTTCTTATATTGATTAAACCAAGTGCTGTTCTGGTTTAGCACTAGAAGCACATGTCTGAAGTTCAACGAGGATGTCCTTTCACTACTGATATTGGAAATAAGTGTATAAGCCTTCATCTAAAATCCTGACAGAAACCCTCAGCTTCTATCAACTTCAGTCTAAAGTTTATATAAACCAAAGTTTAATAATACACGCATCAGTTGTTCTAATAACTTTTGTTCTAGACTATTTTCTGTTTGAGTAATTTATGATTTGTGCTGATTGTTCAGTGCTCAAAGGTGCAATATTGGTATCATACTGGAAATGAAAAAGTCGTATCAGGACATCCCTTAAAACTAACCAGTTTAATCACTAAAAGACTAAATAAACATATTTTTCCACATTAGCCAATCTAGCAAAAGAAGATAATAAAAGAATGTGTGTAATTTTCCCTAAAATGATGAGAAGAACTTGATTTAAAGAACCGCTTCAGTATCAAGGTGAGCCCTACCAGGCAGCATTTCCGTGGGCACTGTTGTCTAGATGACAGAGCAGCTCCAGAGTTTGAGCGTTGTGGGCAGAGTCATCAGGTGACTCGTGGCTTCCCGAGTCCCAGTCGGAGGGCATCCGCCATACTGCGGCACAGGACACCACCCTGCTGTCACTGGCTGCAGGAAAACAAAAACAAACACACAGATCTGAAGCTGATATAAAATCTGATGCGATGAAAACGCACCTGCCTGTACGGGTCAGGAAGGAAGACAGACAGCTGCTAACTTTGTCGATATGCTTCCCTGCTAATCACACATCTAAAATTAGTCATTTTGGCACGTCCATGCTGGAGCTGGAGTTGCTAATTGGAAGCAATGTAGACCTGCTGCAGTAATTGGACTAAAAGTTTCAAGCTGGAGTGTAAAAACCAATCGTAAGCGAAGACAGAGAGCAAACCAGCCTAATTTCATTTTTTTTTTTTGCAGTAGATATTGACAGTGTGTAGGCGGCTACTCGGCTAAGAACACTGGCATTAAGCCTATTTGTCAAATTAAAAAGGAACACGTGGCTGATGCTCTTGAGTGGTTTTAGACAACCTTCCTTTTGGAGTAATGGGCCACTGAAAGGCTGCATGGAAATGGTACAGGGACGCTCATGTGTATCTGCGCTCATGATTAAGTATTTTTGTGTGAGTGGGTGGTGTGTGCAGCAGCGCGTGTTTGGCTGTCCAGAGCGCCTGTCACCCTGTGAGCTGAAGCGTGCAGAACTGGGCTGACACAGAGTGAAAGACGACTCTCCTTCCCAGAGGTACCCGCCCCGTGTCCCGGCCTCTTTTACTCCATGTCCCCCTTTGACATGCCTGTCTTCTTCAGGATGATGCATGCACCTACGCTCAGTGTTTAGACTTGAAAGGGCTTAAACTGACATGTTTATTTTCTAACTCTATAAATATCAGCACTGCTCTTTAAAAACTGATATAATAGTCATCATCGCGTTTAAAAGGTAATTATTGATAAAAAAAAAATGACATGAGGGAAAGAAAAAAACTTTTAAAAGAAGTGGTCAAATAGTATTATAATAAACTAATGGTTTGGAAAATGGTTAAAAATCAAGATTTGTTACGTTTTTCATTTTTTAAATTCACTTATAAACTAAAACCATTAGGAATATTAGCGGATATTTGGTCAGATTTTAAATGAAGAACCCACAGAAAAACACAGACTTAACAATTCCACAAAATCTTCTTCATTTTCACAAATATACATTTATATATATATATATATATATATATATACATATATATATGTACAAAATATGGCAAGATAGGAAACATGCAGCTTTGAGAAGAAGTATCTGTTAATAAGACGGAAACACTTCAGGCAGATTCACATGACCAAGGGATACAGCCATATGAAAAAGTTTGGGCACCCCTATTAATCTTAATTATTTTCATTTCTAAATGTTTGCAACAGCTATTTCAGTTTGATATATCTAAGAACTGATGAACACAGTAATATTACAGTTTTGAATTGAGGTTTATTGGACTAACAAAATGTGCAGTACGCATTAGAAAAAAAAAATTGACAGGTAGAAAACTATGAGCACCTCAGCCACAAAGAGACATCAATATTTAGTAGATCCTCCTTTTGCAAAAACAACATCCTTTATTCGCTTCCTGTAGCTTTTAATGAGTTCCTGGATCCTGGATGAAGGGAATTTTGACCATTCTTCTTTGCAAAACAATTCCGGTTTAGTTAAGTTTGATGGTCGCCAAGCGTGGACAGCCTGCTTCAGATCATCCAACAGATGTTCAATGATGTTTAGGTCTGGGGATTGGGATGGCCATTCCACAACATTGGAATTGTTGCTTGTGAGGGGCCGAGGTAAGAAGCATGAGGAGTCACAGGACTTAATTGAGTTTTTATTTTTAACCCAAAAAAAGAAACTGACCAAAAATATATGTTTCTTAAAAGAGAAAGTTTAACTCAAGCAAACTGTGCCCAAAATAACTGACTGCATAAACAAACATAACTGACCTAACAAAGAAATAACATGACGGTATATATATATACACTGGCTGATCAGACCATTAACACAATATTACAAACCACAGCAGTACAGTCAGGTTAGGAAATAAACTAATCTGCATCTTAGAAAAATGAAAACACACCAACAGGAAACCAAATCTTAAGTGAAAATGCAAAAATGAGAAAAGGACATTTCAAATCCCCTCCTTCGAGCAGCAGCTCGATGAAACAGTCCAATTTCCCCTCCTGCATTTAGCAGATCTGAGCCCTGGCTGCCATCTTTTGTCTGGCCAAACTCCTCGGCACCATAGAAGGTAGGAAACAGACTAGTGACAAAAACTGAAAGAAATATGAATGAGTGCAAACAAATACAGTGAACTAAATGTTCACGCTTAGAAATAGAACATGTATTTTAACTAAGAATAAAGTTTTATTGCAAACTAAAGTATGTGTATGGATTAAATAAATAAAGGTGCATGTATAGTCCAGACCTAAGGTGTTGCCATGGGTTTGGCCATCACATTGCTTTGCATGAATGCCTGAGTAGATTTGAAGTGGTGTTTTGAATCATTGTCTTGCTGAAATATCCATCCTCGGCGTAACTTCATCTTCGTAACTGATTCTTGAACATTATTCTCAAGAATCTGGTGATATTGAGTGGAATCCATGCGACCCTCAACTTTAACAAGATTACCAATGACAGCATTGGCAACGCAGCCCCAGAGCATGATAAAACCTCACCCAAAATGGGAGCAAGTGTTTTTCTTGAGACGCTGTGTTTTTGATGCCATGCATAACGCCTTTTTTATGACCAGAAAACTCAATCTTTGTTTCATCAGTCCACAGGAAAGTATTCCAAAATGAAGCTGGCTTGTCTAAATGTGCTTTTGCAAACCTCAAGCGATTCTGTTTGTGGCCTTCTTGCAGAAAAGGCTTCTGTCTCTCATCACGCTCCCATATAGCTTCTCCTGGTGCAAAGTGTGCTGAATTGCTGAACGATGCACATTGACACAATCTGCAGCAAGATGATGCTGCTGGTCTTTGGAGGTGGTCTGTGGGTTGGGGGTGGTCTGTGGGTTGTCCTTGACCATTCTCACCATTCTTCTTCTCTGCCTCTCTGACATTTTCCATGGCCTGCCACTTCTGGGCATAACAAGAACTGTCCCTGTGGTCTTCCATTTCCTTACTATGTTCCTCACAGTTTAAATCTCTGAAACAACTTTTTGTATCCTTCCCCTGAACGACTATGTTGAATAATCTTTGTTTTCAGATCATTTGAAAGTTGTTCTGAGGCGCCCATGATGAATCTTCAGAGGAGATTCAAACAGGAGTACAACTTGCAACTGGCCACCTTAAATACATTTCTCATAATTAGATACATCTGACTATGAAGTTCAAATCTTAATGAATTTACCAAACCAATTTTGTGTTTTAGTAATTCAGTGAAAAGTATTTAAGGGTATACAAATTAATAAAATGATTAGGGTACCCAAATGTTTGCACCTGTCAAGTTTTGTTTTAAATGCATACTGCATATTTTCTGTTAGTCCAATAAACCTCAATTCAATACTGAAATATTAAGTGTCCATCAGTTAGTAGATATATCAAACTGAAATACCTGTACACAAATATTTAGAAATACAAATAATTAAGATTAATAGGGGTGCCCAAACATTTTCATGACTGTATTAGTTCAGCCATTTGATCTTGAATAGGCCCTGCTTTCTGTAGAGTTGGCTTGGCTACAGCAAACATGCATCACATATAACCAAGGCTACATTCACACTGCAGGCCTTGATGCTCAATACCGATTTTTTTGTGAAACCTCATTTTATTCCAAACCTTAAAACCTCAATCTTTTCAAGACGGTTAAAAAAAAAAATACTACTCCCCGCATCGTCTGCCATGGTGTTTGTTTTTCTTGTCGCTTCTGTGTAGCTAGAAGCAGAATAGTGACCTATGTCGGTTACTAATGGCGTTCAGGTCGGACGAATGCGACCTGGCAGTTTAGACACAGGTCGCATTTGAAAAGATCAGATTCGTATCAGATTCAGGACCATATAGTAGGGTTGTCAAAAGTATCGATACTCAAAAAAGTATCGATACTGAAACGTTGTATCCGGATACAATACTCATTTTCAAAAGTATCGATAGAATGCCACCATCAGTGGCACCTAAACAGTCATTTATCTAAAGTGCAGAATAGAGGACAATGCACTTTCTGAACACTGTGTGATTGAATAATTCTGTGCACTTTTCAGTTTCAGACTTTTTTTTTGTAAGAGGTGCAGCTGCTGAGAATTAGTTTTGTTTCTTAACCGGTTTGGCTAGTGTCATTGTTATGTGTGCAAAGCATAGCCAAGGAAGGAACACTTAATTTAGTTTTTTATCAAGCTTGCTTAATATTGTGCACAGCATACAACCTTTATTGTATTTATTTATTGTATTTATTAATGAAAATATTTCTGTAGAATTTTGGATTCTTTGTTTTAGTCCTTGTGGTATCGAAAATGGTATCGAGTATTGAATATTTTCCTTAGTATCGGTATCGAGTTGAAAAGTTTAGTATCGTGACAACCCTACCACATAGCCAAGAGGCCTGGGTCGTATTGGAAAAAAATCTGATCTGTGTTGTTCAGACAGCCAGGAAAAGATCTGATCCAGGTCGCATATGGGCCAAAAAAATCGGATTTGGGTCACTTTAGGCAGCGGTGTGAACGTAGCCTTACATCATAAGAAACAAACATAAAACCACTCGAATAGAATCAACATGACCGAAAGTAAAAGATGCAAAATGTAGGACTCACTTTTGTTATAGCAGGTGGTAATTACAGCCTTATCTGCAGGACTGGCAGCAATGTGCCATATCTCTCCAGCTTGGTGCAGGAGGACGTTCTTATTAATGATGTTATTCTCATCATCAAAGTCAATGATGTGGATCTGAAACAGAGGCAGAGATAGAGGTGAGAGATGGGAGCAGAAAATATTGACTTCAGTTCTCACTACCTTTGGCTCAAAGCTCCACTCACACCAATAATTCCTTTAAAAAATGCTCCTACTCAATGCAAATCATGTTTCTCCTTTTTTCCCCCCACCCTTTAATAACTTTGAGAAGCTGTACTGTATTTGTGACAATAATGCACATGCAGCTAATGTTACAAAATGAAGGTGCAACAAAAAGAAATTTGCTAAAAGCTTTTTAGTTGTTGTTGTCTAAAGATGAGGCACATCATTCAAGACAGTTTCTCTGTATGAGGCCTTTAACGGCACACTGTTATTAGGACATGTATTGTCATCAAACCTCATGAGCACATGATAATTTAGCTTCAATGGAACCCTAAGATTAGGTCTAATTTTGATCTGCTTTGTGACCAAGCTTTTTATCTGGTCATTTTCGTCATTAAGAAACCATTTTATGGTTATTTCTTTTTATTGGTTCCGACATTGAGGCCACGTTCTAACCAGACACTTTAAACCCAGACAGGCAACTACAAAAAACATGACTCTGGAACTTCTCATAGACTTTATGATCTCCAGGCTGTAAACTGGACCAAAAAACCTCCAAGACATGAGCCTCATGATGGGTTAAAAAAACAAAGGATGACGATTAATAGCTATAAATGGAATAAATATCAACATAATACCATTGCATACTGTACATTGGATAAAAAATACTTTAGATTACATCCAAAATGTGATAAAGAACAGAATTGAGTTCATGTTGCTTTCTGGACAGTGGATGCGTGACTTTGCGCTTTTTAACTTTGCATTCACATTTTTTTAACTGGTAAATAATTGTGTTTCGAGTAAATATTCAGCTTTTTCTCAATGACAAGACCAAATCATTTTCATAGATCAACACCTTTTTGTATTTTTTTTCTCTAAAACAAATGAAGACCAAATAGTTAAGTATAAAAGTTTAACCAAATACATTTGGAGTTAGATTTCCCATTGAAAATGACATTTTAAATAAAAAAAACTAAATTCTGTAGTCATTTTGTCATCGCTAACAAACATTAAACACGCTTAGCTTATAAATTGATCGATTACTATATGAAAGTGAGTTAAATCTAAAGGCGTGGTGGGCATTTCATATGATCTGCTTTTCTATTTTCTAGTTATAGTGAATATGTGAACCTCATTTAAAGTGGCCAGCATGCATTTCTGAGCAGCCTATGGATTTATTTATCATAGAAAATCATGAAGAGTAAGTCTTTGGGGAGAATTTAGAAGATCCCAAAGGCCCTTATAGTTTATTACTTAGTAAATAAAACCAGATTGTTTCTTAGAATTTCAGATTTTCTATTATAAACATAGACACATGTTTTCATTATTAATACTGACAAATTTAATCAGGAGTTTTACCCGCTTTTGTAAAAGTCCTAATTAAGAGCTTCTGACCTCAGATATCTCCTTGAACAGGAAGACCAGGAAGACTATTTGGATGATGAGCTTGTAGTGGCATCCTAAAGTATTACAGAAATCCTCTTCTCCACCAAAGCTGTGACCAATATGAAACTCAGCTTCACTTCAGAGGGTTTAAGAGATCAAACCATTTGGATAGGACACAACGCTCCATCTTTTATGATCCCTGGAATGTTACTTAGCATAGAAGAACTCCCATAAAGTCATCCGGTCATGAGAAAAGGCAATGACTCAGTAGATGGTAGAACAACCTATAGCAGCAATACCTTTGAAGTAATCCTTATATACAGTAACTCTCTCCCATCATTGCAGATGCAATTTCGCTCCAATTTTCTTGACAATAGTGTTACAGTTCATTAATACTTACACACATTTGTTCCTGTCGAAGTCTTTAAAAGTCACTTAAATTCTCAAAGTGAGAAAAGATTGTTCCTTTTTTTGTATAATTTTTTTTAGCATTACTATGGACATTGCATAGTCTTATATTGGTATAAATTTGGAGAGAATCCCCCTTCTGGGCAGATTGGCAAGGATCTTGAATCATTTGTTCATGAATTACAACTGTGTAGGATGGTGGATTTAAAAAAAAAATCTTGGGATGTGGTCTGACCCTTCAGATAATGATGGATGAAAAAAGTATTTCTTTTTTCTCTTAAGATCATTGCTTTCACATTTGGCATTGTGTCAGAACAGGCCTGTTTACTCCATCAGATCACCAGACCCTGGTAATAACTGTCCCTCATTTAATCCTGGTATTTTCTTTGAAATTCCTTCATTATTATGGGTAATATTTTTACCTTATTCTTAATAATTGGAGATTTTTATGATTCTACTAATGTTTTAATCATAATTTGCTCCAATATTATGCTGGCCCCTCATTATATGATTCATCTATGATTCAAATGTTAATGCAGGGTCCCCTCTTAATCCTTATTTAATTGTTTTTATGGCTTTGTGAGGAATAGGGGAGTTCTTTAAAGGATTTTTGTCAGTTTTAGTCTGCTTATTGGGCAAGCTTCAGTCACTTTGACTGTAAAGTAAGAATAGTTTGTTACAAACCAGCTGTGGAAGACAACTTTTCTATAGTCATCGAACACGGCATACAAACACTGAGGTCCCACCATGACCGGGAGTTTCCTTGACCGGAGGGTTTTAGCTCCACAAAAATTCTTTATTCATAAGCAGTTAACGGGAACTTCTCTTTACTGAGCTGTTTTCATTAGATGCAAATCTATTCTGTGGGATGGATCAAGATGGCGTGCGGTTCAGGGCTGAAAATGCAGTAAAACAGTGAGGGTCTTAAGGGTTTGATCAGAGACTTAATGACAGTTTCCCCCATGAGAATGACACTTACAGCACTTTGGGGGACCATTAACAGGGTGGCCGTGGACAATAACTCGTTGGAGGCACTTCCACAGCCCTGTGTCTGCTCTACTTTTACGGGCTAAACAATACGGGGAGGGTGGATGGGGAGTAAAAGAGCACTGGAGCACTGGCATCCTTCAGCCTCCTCAAAGTCAGCTAGGCTGCTATTAACCTTGGATTGGACTGCATCAAGCAAGAAATTATTACGGCAAGTTATAATTTTATGGTGGTGGGGGATAAGCACAAATAAATTCAGGCCGTTGGGACAGGGTAATAGGAGGGCCTGGTAATAGGGTCCCCCCTAAATGAACCTAGGTGTAGGAGGAAAGAAGTTCCAGTCCTCCTCCCCCCAAGTGATTTATTCTTCATTCTCCCAAGCCTGGGGAGTGACTCATAGCCTTCAGCCACTTGGGCACTGAGCCCAGCACTTTTTAATTATGTGCCAGTGGTGGGAGGAATTAAAGCAAGAAGGAGAGAAGGGAGATTTGTAAAGGAGGGGGGCTACAGAGGGGGATGAAGCCAAGCCGGCTTGTGCCTCCCACTTCACGGGTTTCACCGCTTAAGCTTTTTAGCTGCACGGATGACAGTAAGCAGGACAGAGGAGTTGCGAGCGGGTGAGAGGTGCCAAGCTCGGCCGCTTTATCTCGTTAGCAGCCTTAAATGCCATGCCGAGGCGCCCTCCGATCTGTCATTTTCGACTATTGGTCTCCGAGGGATTTGAGAGGTGCTCAGCGAGTTAAGAGAGACATTTCCACCCTGCATTACGCTTAATGGGAGGTGGAGAGGCCAGCGGGCTTATGGATGCAGCAGAAGCTATCAGGGCTGAAATGCCAATTGAAAAAACATTTTTCATGCGAGTTCAAACTCACCTAAGTGAGCTAACCAGTGTTGGCTAGAAAACTTATGCAGAGGGGAAAAGAAAATGAGCTTCATGAATAAAACAAGCCGCACAGACTGGGCCCACGATTCAGCTGTAGGGGTCATCTGAAAGAAGATGACCTCAAGGATGAATAATGATCCCCGTTAGCTTTTCAAGCTCTGAATGCCCTTTGACATCAGACATATTTAAATACATATTCACAACTGGTGGGTTTTAGCAAAACAACAGACTGTGGATGAGAGAAAATAGAGCATCAAGCAGAAGCACTTTTTAAAACTCCCTTATCGTACCCTACAGCTTAAGCAGTTTTGACTGTTTTTTGCATGAAACATTGAGAACGATCCAACAAGATCTTAGTTTTAGCTGGTAAAAAGCTATACTGAGAAATATAATAGATGCATGTTGTGGGGCCAGAAAAAACAAAAAAGAAGCATGAACGTAAATGAAAGGAAAAACTATAAAAACAAGGAGTTTTACTTTAGTAATGGATAGAGATACACCAGTCTAGTTGTCCCCAATGGACACCTGGGCTGAGCATATTGGCCCATATCAGATACCAATACCATTTAATTATTTAATAAAGAAACCATATATCTTGCCAGCTTTAGCCTTGACAAAAATGCTGTTAAAAAAAAGGTAACAGACTAACAACAGCATTAATGCACTTTGTGTTATTTTTTAACAAATAAGCAGCAAAAAGAAAGAAAAAACAGTTCCATGTAGAGTGCACTGGATTGGTTCCCCGATATCCGGTATCAAATCACCGATATCCAATCCAGCCAATTAGTCAATATCGGAGCTGATATCTATGCTTCTCTAGTAATGGATAACTTACTGTAGATCTACAACTGTTGGGAGCTTTTGGTTTTTATGCATCTTCTCCTTCAGTGGCAGATCTAGACTTTTAAAACAGGGGTGGCAAGGTTATTTGGGGGGGTCAATACGTAGAGGGTTCAATTACACTACACACAATAATTATTTTCCACACAATGTCTATTAATTAAATTAAAGCTGTTTATTTTACAAAATGTATACAATTATGTACTGTACAATGTATTATAAATGAAGTATACAGCAAAAAAATAAATAAACAAGTACTTAATGTGCTCTTTGGACTAATCAAATCCGGTAGTAAGCAAAAACTTGAGGTAAATTTGGGCCTTTCAAAACAAGGCAGAACAAGCAGCGGTGCACATTTAAATGTGTACCACAAGAAGAAGAATAGAACAAAACAAAACAAAAAAACATACAGTCCTTTAAAACGGACTATAGTTGACCATAACAGCAAGTTTATAAAAACAATCAAAACAGCTAAATTCTACAGTTCTTTTGAGATGAATCAAAATGTTTTACAAAGTCTTCCATATATAGGGAATATGCTCTCCTTGAATAAACATTGAGTATGCCCAGGTTACTTAATCTATCATCTGCCATTGTTGTCCTAAGGTGGGTTTTTATTCATTTAAGGGCAGAGAAATCTCTTTTGCAGAATGCAGTGCTAACTGGTATACCAACTGAAATTTTACAAAGCATAAAAGTTCATGGAAAACCTCTTTGTAAGGTTCCAAAAACACAACAAACTCAAGTAGAGACGCTTGTCTCTCTCTCCACTTTTCTCCCTTCTTAAAAAGAAGCCGTCTCGTTTGATGAAGCTCATGCTTAAGGTTTTCTAAGTCAGGCTCAAATGTTTTACCCTAAAGCAAGCAGAGGCTCCTCTTTTAGGAATTGTGAGCTTTTGGGGTCAAGAGACTGAAATCCTTCCATTATCTCAGTTTTTTTTTTTTTTTTTTGGAAAATTGCTTATGCATTTATTCATCAAGACAATCAAGCACCTGATAGAAAATGCTTCTATTGAACTCTCCATTATTTTCAAACTCACAGTGCCTCTGTCCAACAGTGCTTATTACAAGTGAGTCTAGAAATGTAGAATTGGTCTTTGGTCTTCTTTTGTTTTGTCCTTCAGTGACAATGTTGCAGTGGTGCACAAGTTCTTCAGTCTCCTTCCATAATTCACCAGATGTACTAGCACTTCTGTAGCTTTTTAATGTGTCTGTAAGAGAACCAACCAGATCTATTGCTCTAACCAGATCAAGACTTCTGGATTGGAGCATACCAGACAGGATTTTCACATCCCCAAACACTTCACAAAAAATAAACAAAAGTCCTATAAACTGAAGGTTAATTTGGGCTAAAATACCCTTTGCTTCTATTTTTCTGTCTGCACTATTCTTCTCTGGTGAAATGTCTTGCCAGATCCTCAAAATTACTATAAGCCGTCTCTCATAGTTCTAAATGTCATGTACCAGCAAACCCACCTAACATCTGAAAGTCACTACAGTTCCCTAAGCTTCTCATGTGGGTATATTTCTTTTTGAACATCAAGCCACTTCATATGGACAGCAGAGCCAGACTAATAATTGAAGTAGTAATACTCATAGGTATTGTACTAAGCACCAACACTGTGGTGCAACGTCTCCCTTACTTCCCGTTAAAACAGCAATTTGTTTAATTTAGTACCAATAAACGTACATACCAGCTAAGGAAATGCATTTCATTGATGCCGTGGGCCACTGCCATGTTGTGTCTTGGAGCCGTTTGGAGCACGAAGGAGCTGCATGTCAGCTTAATCCGCTGGGAAATTTGACTGATTTCTTCGCAAATGTGTAAGAGGTGGCAAGGATTTCCTCTAGGGTGGCAATTGCCACACCAACTAACCCTCTCGCTCTGCCACTGTTTTACTTGTATGTGTCTTCTACTTGTATGTAGTATTTTTTTGCTTGTATAAGGTACCGTTGTGATTTATTTTCATTTTTAATAAGACTTTATGTGGCTATTAATATATCAAAACCAACACGCCACATAACGCTTATATTTTGTCATTAATTCCCAGCATATAATTTTCCACTACATGCATTGTTGCACACTGAAAAACTGGTTCTAAATAAAATAAACATTTTAAATAGTGATGATTATTCATACCCCTAAAACCAACCTCAGTTCTTTGATTTGAGTGGATTTAGCATAAATGTTTTTTTATTACTTTTATTCTAATTCCATAAACAAACTTGGAAACACCTGAAATGGTCAGCCATTCTCAGACGGCCTGGGGCCATTTAAAAGGTTCTAAGATGCCCAAAATTTGCCAAGAAAATATCCTTTACACCAGAGGTCATGGATTAGCGGACCAGGGTCCGGATCTGGACCCACCTGCTGGCTAATCCGGATCCAACATGATTTAAAGCGGTCATAGAATGCAAAACAGAGTTAACATTGTCTTAGATGTGTAACAATAGTTATAGATTCACAAATCGGGTGAATCTGAACGAAGCCCCGACTTGACGTCAATTCGGGGATGTATCCTTATTTGGTTCTGGCCTATACTTTTGTCACGCCCTGAAATTGACATACAGACCAGCACACTGGTTCACTGGCCCAAGAGAACATGAATAGAGGTAGATGTAAGACAGCGGTTTTAGCTGTTTAGCTTTCAGTTGGGTTTACTTCTACAAGAATTTAAAGAAAAGCAGTTTCTCTATTTAAAATGAGCCAGAAGCACGGGCGTAAATGCAGTGTTGCATGGAGAAAGGAGAAATTTTTCACAGTCTTCCCAAGGATCCGACAAGGATCAAAGGGGCTGCTGGGCCTCCTGCTGGACCGGACTGGGCATTTGAACTGATCCATTAGCCGGCTGGGTTCCCGGACCAGCACCGGAGCTAACAGCTCGGTTCAAATGCCCAATGTGTTTCTACTACGTGCTGCACTGTAGTCGACCAAAATCCCGATTTTGAAATTCCCCCGGACATTTTTTTAGGTATGAAAAATAGGACATGTCCAGGAAAAAAAGGAGGTCTGGTCACCTTACCATATCAACAATTCGAC